AGACCTAATTCAATATTTTCTGACTGCTCCTGTCATGTATGATACATTTTTGTGCATGCCTGATGTGACATTCATAAATTGTACCACTATGACTTTATCCATGTAAAATAGCTATTTATTGAATATTCTTTCAACAGCTGGACTTTTTTTTTGTCTCCATTTAAACATCTTAACAGAGAATTTGTTACTGTTTATTAAAAGAATTGAGTTTGAAAGCATAAAAAATCTGATTTGTAATTGTATGAAGAAAAACAATGCCTTTACTATCACGTGTTAAGCACAATTCTTAGCAAACTGTGATAAATTCTTTGTTTCTTTCATTTGCCGAGATATTTTCATATGAACAAACCAAAAATCCATGGTGAGCAGTGGCAGCAGCGTTGGCTGGCCCGTTCTTTGTGTACAGGGAACCGGGAGGATGTGGACATTGACAAGTGTAACCTGGTGCTGTGACTAGAGCAATACTTTACTTTTGTTAGTTGTGCTTCGCCTTGCTCATGCTAGCCTTTTAAATGTTTAGTTTTCCTCTTGTCATGGTCAACTGCTGAATTTACTTGAAGGATGTAGAATACTATTTAAAAAAAAAATACTAAAGTCTGTACAATTAGGTCAAAGAATTGTGCAATCGTTTCCTTTTTAATTTTTAAAATTGAAGGTCACAAATATTTGCGATCAGACCTAGTAGTAGTAGTATCTATTTAATTTAACCAAAGTCTAGTAAATACTTCAACGTTGAATGTAAACTAACAAACCTGACCACCAAGGAGATTGTTTGCCCAGAGTTTCAAAGCACATTGTCTACGAATGGAAATTGAAATAATTTATAAAATATTGACATTACTATGTTTTTTAAAAAGTTCCTAATTTTTTCACTAAAAGGAGGGAAACTATTAGTTTTATTGTTAAATATGGTAGATATTAATATTCCTCTTAGATGACCAGTGATTGCAATTGTCCCAGTTTGAACTAAGTACCCTGTGAGTATGAGAGAAACTAGTGACAATCAGAACAAGTTTTAGTATCCAATGTTCAAGAGGAAGTTGCTATTGTTGCATTGATTTTAATATTTGTACATAAACACTGATTTTTTGAGCATTATTTTGTATTTGTTGTACTTTAATACCTGGTGTACAGTTCCAGAAATAAAAATCTGGAAATCTGTTTTTCCTGGTTCGTGTGACTGTTTACCAAAAAATTTAAAACCAATCTTAAGCTATATCAGATACGTAGATATTCAGCTTGAGAGACATAATCATTTTCTTAAATCCATTCTACTAGTTTTTGATCTATAATCATTCTAACAATTCCCAAAGATCCGAATTTAGTTCAGGAGGCAGTTACTGTATTATCCAAGCAGTCCTAGGCAGCTGTCTTTCAGCAAGAAAGACAGTGAGCTGGAATATGATTCGAAATCAGGACTTAGCTGGTGTCTGTGATCAATTACTCCTTTATTTATCATTTTCATAATCCCATTGCCTCTAGTCCCAAGCCTTGATCTTTTGTAGCTGGAGATCTTAGTGTAAATCCCAGCATTCTCGGTTCCCATTTTAATATCACACAGTAGCCAGAGTTTTGCATAAAGCAAGATGCTCTCCTTTCTTGTCTAGAACCAAATACCTCCATTCCCAAACAGCACAGTGCCTTCCTGTGCCATGTCTGTGTGGGCACAAACACAGGAGCCCGCCCAGTACTCCACAGCCTGGTACCTTGTGAGAGCCTCCTGTACTTCAGGCTTTGAGGAAGGGAGAATCCTATGGGAACAGATGTCTCTGGTGACTTCTGGGGACATTACAGCCCAGAGGACTTCCTTGTGTCCATTTCTAGTTGCTCTATAACAACCGTGAGCCTTGAGATCTTTAGTGCTGTAGAGAGAATACGAGTATACACTAGGTGGGGGAGGGGTTAGAATTTCCTCAGGCCTCAGTGAGGGGACAAGTTCCTAGGCAACCTCGGGAGGGATCTACAGGTTGAGAACTCAGATTCAAGGGGTGGCATGAGTGAAACAGGGGAGCAGAAGAGATAGCAGAAGTCATAGCTAGGTCATAGCTAGGTGAAGGAATTCTAGGATGTATCAAGAAATAGTCCCCCTTGGCCGGGGCTGGTGACACCTTTAATCCCCAGCACCTGGGAGGCAGAAGGATCTCTTGAGTTTGAGGCCAGCCTGGCCTACAGACTTAGTTCAGGAGAGCCAGGACACTCTCTCCACAGAAACACGAGAGGAACAGGTATCCCTGCCACCAACCTTGTCCTTTAGTATCCCCACACTAAAATAACTTCTTGGGTTCCTTTTTATCCCCGCCATCCTTGTGTAGAAATGTTCAGTGGGTAGGGGAAGGAAGATGCCCTATATCCATCCAGTTGGAACAGGGAGAAACCCTGTCTTGAAGAAAACCAACCAACCAATCCCCTTGGTGATGTGCTCTAAAGGGCAGGAGTGGGAAGCCAACTTAAATTACAATAAAGGAGGCAAACAAAGCTAGTGAGGTAGGTGTGACTGGTCAAAATCGGATCCTGCAGTTTCCCCGAAGGATAGAAGGGCTAAGTAAATGATGTCATCCTGTCCAGGCTTGGAAATGAGTCAGGTGGATGTATCAAAGGAACCATCAAGGGTAAAACTGGCCTGGCAGTGGTGGTGCACACCTTGTGGAGGCAGGTGGATTTCTGAGTTTGAGGCCAGCACGGTCTACAGAGTGAGTTCCAGGAGAGCCAGGGCTACACAGAAAACCCTGTCTCGAAAAAACAAAACAACAAAACCCACAAACAAACAGAAAAGGGAGAGGAGGGTAAAACTCTGGGATCGATGGCTTCAGGACCAAAGGTAGCTGAGCTGGTTTGATAATTCTTCACCTCTAAGTACATTTATTCTGTCAACACCTGGGCTGGCACCTCTGCACAAAGCAGAGCCCACAGAGAACTTGAGGGTTATGAGCCACGGGGGTGCCCGCATAGTCTAGTGGGTGAAGAAAGGTTAGCATTACCAATGGGCGTCCCCTCCACAGAAATGAGACGGGAACAGACGTCTCTGCCACCTGCCTGTCCTTTAATAGTATCCCCTCGCTAAAGCAATCCTTACAGTCCTCTCACCACTCTGCTCCCCAGATTGGTTTAGGAATATCCAGTGAACAGAGGGAAGAAGACGACCCCATGAACACAGTAAATGACACACAAACCATTTACTCATGGCAACACCAGAGACAGTTTTCCTTTATTCTGTTAAAAAAAAGTTTTTCCAGAGGTGTGTACACATCCATAGTACTGTAACAATTGCTGGGGCTGGAGAGAGAGAGAGGGAGGGTAT